TTTTCAGGCGAATAGAGACAAATACAAGTCGCACGCTAGGGGAGGAGCCCGAAAAAAAAAATGACACTTCCCCCGCCACTCGCGCGCTTCCCTCGCTCCTCGCGATCACTTTGTGATCGCTCCTCGCGATCACTACGTTCGCCTGAAAAAAAATTTAAAAATTTAAAAAAAAATGACACTTGTTCTGCAAGCCAATCACACAGTGAATGAAGCAAAATCATTGCAATTACAGGCTATTTTAAATATCCAACTGAAGATGACCCCATCCGAAAAAAAATTCCCCTTACATGAAACATCTGCTTGAGTGGTCGTATTTGTTGGCATCATGGTGCTGGCCTGTGATGGTGCCCCTGTTCTGGTTGGCAATTCCCCACGAGTCTCCACAAATGAGCTTTCTTTATATCCAACATCAGACATGTCGGTCACCTAGCAAGAGAAAAACACCTTTAAAAAAAAAACTGCTTTATGAAATACTTATAGGTTGCACCTGAAGTTACTTAAAATGTAATTCTATTTCTGTTTTTACTTAGATTCATGGATCAAGATCCTGGCTTTCATGCGTTTATTTAGTGAAACAAAGTGCAACAGTAGCAAAGGAGTGAAAAAAAAAAAAAACGAGAGAGGCTTGGGTCAAGGTGTGTAGCAATTTAGGAAGAATTTACTTGTATACTCTCCAAGGGTTTGGAAAGTTCCTCTGCAGTTGGTGGTGATGCTTGGGCAGGCCTGTTTGACATAACACTTGGGGCTTGTGAGGTAGCTCCTGGTAATATGGACTCATTTGATGTCATCTCTCCAAGCATTTCTGTTAAGGGGTACGGGTCTATTTCAAAACCGCTAGTTTCAAAAGAAAAAAAAAAAACATTTCAGAAAAGTGAAAGGAAAGGTTTGGAAGCCAGTATGCATGTCATCTCTCATCACTAGTCAGTGGTGGATCCAGGGGGAGGGGGTTCCGGGGGGGTCTGGACCCCCCTATCAGACCCAACGCTTACAACTTTGAGAATGAAATTCTTACATCGACAGGATCGTATATCACTTTTTAACTGGCTGATTTTTTTAATTAATGAATCCAAGTAAGCGGTAAGTGGCCAAGGAATTATAACGCGCAACCGTGACTGGTGGAAGGGGGGTGTGGGGGGTGTTGGGGAGAAGTAATTTGCCTTAAAAGAGTCCAACAGTCCTTTCTGAACCAAAGTTTGGAACCCCCCCCAATCAAAAATTCTTGGCTCCGCCCCTGATTAGTGCTATGGCACAAGTGTTTCTCCGCCTGTGGAAGAGTATGAGGTCTTCCGCAACGCGAGTTGGCGAGAGGTTTGCTAAGGGGTCTGGAATTGAAAATAATTATTATTTATAGTGCCAGACTGAAACCTGGGGTTAGAGTTTAGAAATGGATCACTCCATGAGATGAAAATGTTTCCAGAATTTCATTGTCGTTCAAATTCATCATTCATTTAAACACGAAGGCGCGCTATAAAAGGAGCCTTAGGTCCCACTGGACCATTTGTCAATCAACCTTCGTGTGATGTAGAACTCTTAGAGTCAAGTCAGCTTGAGCTACAGCTACTCCAAAGCAGTGAACAGCGGGCGCATTCCTCAAAATTGTTTTATGTCTTCATAACAATACAAGAATTTTTGAGATTTGTATTTCCTTTCTCCAATGGAAACTGTCTTTATTTGTGGCGGTAAATTTGAGATCGAAGTAGGTGGTTCGCAAGTTACCTCATGCCACCATGCTGGTGGAAGTAAACAGTAGATATCTCATTAACTCCTTTTGTTCGTCTACCAGCATTTAAATTTGACCCGCACACGTCAACGGTGAGTGACAAATGAGCCTAGGTCTTCTCATGGAAGACTTCCTTATATAGCGCGCCTTCGTGTTTAAGTTGTTTTAATTTGTTTTTTGATCATCAGAATAAAAAAAAATGATTGCGAACCCAAGAAGCTTTGATTGTTAAACAAATTCTCCTTGTCAGTAACAAAGGAAATGTATAGAGAACAGTATGGAGAATATGCATACTGATGTTAAGCTCTAGAGGGTTAAGCGTCTCTGTTTCACACTCACAATGGTGTCATAAGGGTATCAAAGTCACTTTCAGTACCACCAGCTGATTTTCTTCCAGATGTAATTTTTATCCCAGCTGTAACCTGCAACAACCGTCCATCCTCTGAAACAAAGTTTATTTCTTTCTCTGTCAATAACTAAAGTCTACTTTAAATTCAAACGAATGTTTTGATAGCTTTGACAATCTGAGTGACTAGCGTCTAATTTCTCCTTTAAGTGTAAGGGAATTAAGAAAATGATCAAAAAATTAAAAAAAAAAAGCTCTTGATTGTTAAACAGATTCCCTTCACTATACATTTTCTAAAGTGCTGTCAAGAAGAATTTATTTACCAATCAGAGCTTCTTTAATTGATGATCGTTATGCATTTCCTTTATTCTTGTGACCTAAATATGTGATTCCAGGGTAACACTGTACAGACCCACAGAAACAAGGAATCTTTTTGTTTTTAGCCTGCTTGCATGCAGTAGTTTTTGTCTTTATGTGTGAGATTCAGATTCAGATTCTGGAGTAACATTGCACAGACCCACAGCAACAAGGAATCTTTTAGCTTTTAGCCTGCTTGCATGCAGTAGTTTGTGTCTTCAAGTGGGAGATTCAGCGCACCGAATTTTTGGTTGCCATATTGGACCTGTGGAAGGTTTAGGATAAGTGACAAAGAAAGGGAGAGGGGGGGGAGTTTTACTCCAGATCCCCTAGCCCACCCCCCTCACTTTGTCACTCGTCTCAGATCTTCCAGACCTTAATGTAACACTCTGAGGGGTTACACATAAGAGGTTAATGTATCTAACTGCAAAAGTATTTTATATATATCCCATTATCAATAAATTCTAACCATTTGTTGGTTCCCCATCAGCTGTGACACACTCAACTTCAAACCCAAATGGTCTTCCTTGCATGAACTCTACATGATCATCTCCAATTATACGGATCTGCACTGTCTCCACTAAAAATAAGAAATATTTCATTCACATTTTGTGGTTAGGGCTAAATACATTTTGAAATTCATATTTCAACTGATGACTCACTGTGCGTGCAGACATTGATTAACACGGCTTTCAAGAATATTTACCTTCAGGCCTGCCGTTAACCCACATTCCTTCATAGGAGACACCAGAATTGTGAAACATGGATCCTTCACCATTGAAAACATCCCCCCACCACTGACCCTATATGATAAGGTAAAAATATGTGAAAATATATACTAAGCAAAAATCGAACATATACATGTACAGGCATTGATGACCTTTTGCTTTTCATGGCATAAAGCAAATTAGCCAGCTTGCAGGGAGTAGGTTGTGTTTTCAAGTGTGAGATTCACAGCGTGGCATTTATTCGGCCACCATATTGGATGGGTGGAGGTCTGGAAGATCGTAGACAAGTAACAAAGTGAGGGGGAGTGGGGAAGGCGAGTAAAACTTTCCCCGGCCCCATCACTTTATCACTCATCCCAAATCGTCCACGCATCCAATATCACAACCAAAAATTTACTGAATCTCCCACTTGTAGACACAAACTACTACATGCAAGCAAGCTAAAAGCAAAATGATTCCTTGTTGCTGTAGGTCTGTACAGTAAAATTCACAGATGATGTCAATGAGATAAGAACACTTGTCCAGTGAAACATTCACATGTGCCTCAATTGTATACCACTTTTTTTGTACTCACATTTGGATGTAATCTTTTATAAAACAGACCCACCACAACAAAGAATCTATTACTTAAATTAGATATATGCAATTTTTTGTTGCATTATATTTGGGCATTATGTCAAAAAAATCATGTGTATCCATTACATCACACTGTCCTTATAACTTGTGAACACATTACTGTATTTTGCTATATTCTCAAACTGAAGTGTGCCAAGTTTTCATCATGCATCAGAGATTGAAGAATTCTTTAAATACTCTTCAAATTTTTCCTCTCTGCTACATTGCAAGGGTCTGGGCTATTTTCTATTCCAATGGGGAGCCATAATGAGAACCCTGACTGCAATTTTTGAAACATTGTAAGTAAGTAAGTAAGTAAGTAAACTTTATTTGATAAGTAGGTTGACTTGTTTGGCAGCCAAAGGGCTGAAGTGGACCCAAATAGTTCTCTTCATTTCTCTGACGAAGAGAACCATTTAGTCAGGAAAGGGGAGTGTTTAGGACTGGTCATTTTTTTTATCAGTGGCATTTAATTGATAGCAATATTTACGCAAGGTTGGAATTTTTTAAAATAATTTTATGACAGATAAAACCATAATCGCTTTTGAGAAAATGAGAGAAACAAAAAAAATTATGAACATTTCATGTACAAGTAGGGAACAATTTTTCATTTCTGACCCCATAAATAGTTCCATCCACAAATTTCATGACTCCATGTCCTTGGCGCAAATCATTGACCCAGTCTCCTTCATAAACATCACCATTGCTGTGGAGGTTAGAGAAAACTTTAAAATGCCAACCTTTTTTCACCAAGTGAAGTGATTAATGTGTAACTTCTCCCAACAATATCTATGCATTATCCAGCTAACAGGTAATGAGAATACTCAAACTTATCAGGTAGAAGTTGTCATCTGGCAAAATTCTCAAAATGAATTTATAAGGAAATGTGTAGTGACCAGAGGGGAGAATTAACAATCAACTCTTAAGAGTTTAAGGGTTAATCTGTAATTTGAAGGTTTCATTTGACATCATTCTTCTGCATCTAAAAATGAGATAAGATCCTCATCTACTGGGAAAATATTTTTAACATTTTTTTTCTTAAATCCTTGCAAGGAAAAGATAAATTTCTTACAAAAAAATTAACTTCTTGTCTTTTATAAGTGCCAGTATGGTAGTTATTTGGTTTTTAGACAACATTTTTATGAGAAAAAAATTTGTCCTCTCAGGAAAAATTTGTGGAAAACTTGGGTTCCATCTTGGTATACTTGTATTAATGACACTACATTTGCCCTACTATAAAACACTGAAGGCAATGATTGTTTATTGTTGTCTTTCACAAGATGTGGTGGCTAAAAGAACTGTTAACACACATCATGTTTGTATCAATAGTGTCAAACCTTAAAATCCAATTTCCTTCACCATGCCTTCTGTGGTTGTGAAAAAATCCCTCATAGATAGATCCATCTTTATTGGTCAGTTTACCCTCTCCTATCACAAACATTTTTCATAGAAAAGGGAAAATGGTTCATTTTGAGTAATTCTCTCCTGAACTTTGCACTGTAAATCAAGAACTGATCAAGGCTGTGCTCTACAAAAAATTGAAGGGAGCCCGGTGCTCTGAAACTGTGAAATCCAAGGTGCCCAGCATATGCTTTTTTGTGGAAAAAACTAAGATTCCTGAGTTGCCTACAAGCAAAAGTAAGAAGCCAGGGGTCACCGGGCACTGCTAGACCACAGCCCTGCTGATGATCAATTCATAAGGTTTGAGAGTTGACTTCAAAGATGACAATCACAAGTAGCTAGTATCTACTATTATTACATGACTCGGGCAGTCAGAGGGCCAGTAACTAAAATCAACCAATCAAAAGACTCTATTGCCGGTCCAATATTCTCTAAGTATTGGACCGGGCACTGTCTCGAATGATCCCGAATGATACTGCACTTGTGCCCCTTTGAACTTCAGTCGTATAATAAATCTCTTATTAACCAAGCTTGCTCGGGACCATACTGGAAGAATATCAGCCCTCGGTCTTTTTGTACCGACCTCACTGCGCTCGGTCCGTACTGTCAAGACCTCAGGCCGATATTCTCCCAGTACGGCCCTTGCGCTTAGTTAATAAGATATATGTATCGGTTTAACCCTCAAACCATTTTAAAAGAGTGATTAACATCTTATTTCTCTTATCAATATCTCACCTGAAATAAATACTGACGTCATGAGAACATAGAAAATTATCACCAACTAAAGTAGCTCTTGATTGTTAAACAAATTCTCCTTGTCAGTATCACAGAAAGTGTATAGAGAACAATATGGAGAATATGCATAGCGATGCTAGAGTGTAAAGAGTTAACAATTGGATTCCATGCAGCAGTGTACCTGTTCAGTAATAAATCGCAGATAACATCAAAATGTCATAAAATCAAAAAATTGCCATACAAGGTGCAACCAAGTGTGTCACTCATGTTCTTTCTACATTTTAACATCTTTTGTCATCTATTACTAACAGTAACTGAACACACTCACAGCAACATGGAACCTTTTCGTTAAATACATAGATAAAAAAGCAAAATATTGTTAATGGTGACATCATCTTTGCTTCTGTCCTCGAAGAGGTGACAAGAAGAACAAATCAAGATCCATATATGATTCAGCTATAAATAAAATTCACCTTCACGCCGATTTTCTACCCATTCTCCTTCATATCGCGATCCATCACCATACACCATGACTCCATAGCCATTCAGTTCACCTTTAACAAACTGTCCAGTATATTCATTCCCTGTAAAAGCCCAGCGGCGGAATCCATGCCCCTGGATCTCCCCGACAATGAACTGTCCTTCATAGAAGCTGCCATCAGCCATCACAAGCTTACCATGGCCTTAAAAAGATTTAAAAAATATATTATATATTTTTTAGAGTGTTATAAAAATAATCATGTGATCATCAATTTCTTTGATTTGATTAACTATTCAAGACTTAGAGAACTATATATTGTATTCAAAGCCACCAAGAAGGGTTTAATAAACACCCAAATTTTGAGAAATATAAGCTTAGTTATACGCAAGATGTACGTACAGTAAACAAGTTTACATTTTAGTGTTGCTAAATTAAATCTTACCATGTTTCTTCCCTTTGCTCCATTCCCCCTCATATCTAAAGAACTTGTTGGGATAATTGTATACTCCAAACCCTTAAAAATAGCATAAAAGTAATTAGAAATTAAAGCCTGACTATTGATGTTTTGTGTAGCTCTTGTAACATTAAATGTACAAAAACGTTTTTACCGTCTCTTAGCTGCTTTTTGGTTTCACCGATGTAGTTCCCTGCTCCTTTAGATGTGGTAGTGTTCAATAACGTTGCCATTCTATGCAAGAAGTCAGTAAGGAAAACTTTATTTGGCCATGTTGCAGTTTACAGAATTCCAAGTGATCAATCCGCCATCTTTGTTTTCGAGTGGTTGCCAAGCGGACAGGCGCACACGTCAGCGGATTTGATCGCGTAATACATTCAAGATGGCGGACTTTACGGTGTGAATTTCACTTCTTTTGACAGCGGAAGAACTTCGTTAGAATGGCAGAATACGGAAAGGATAGCATTCAGGGAATGTGTTTAGATATGTGCCCTGCAACTGAAATTGCTGCTAGAGAAAACCAGAGGAGACTTCACTTCTTTGAAACTGTTGCTTTCACTAGTCCATCTCAAGGTAGCGAACACCATCTTGGTAATTTGATTGCAGATCCCCGAGCAGTTATCAAGGAATTTTCGCGCTCAGCAGCGGGAAGATCTATTGATTCATCCGAACTACGACCAGCAAGTGTCCTTTTGAGCACCATGAATTACTTAATCGAGGAAATTGCCTCCAAAGATGGTACCTATTCTTGGCAAATGATATACTGGTTCATGTTTGACCGCGTAAGAGCCATAAGGCAAGATTTGGTGGTCCAGAGAATCACTGGAAAGCCTGTGGTGGAAATCTTTGAGAGAGCTTGCAGGTTCCACATTTTATCGGGTTACAGACTGTGCGAAAGTCCTCTTGATGCGTTCGATCCAAAAATTAACAATGATCACACAAATGAATGTTTGAAGAGGCTTCTGTGCTTTTATGATGAGGAAGACTCTTCTGCTTATCAAGGCACAAGACCAGAATTTGAAGCTTACTACCTTTTGCACAATCTCGGTTCTTTCGAAGCCTTAAATCGTGCTGTGAATTTGCCGGAAGAAGTCAAAAACAGCTGTTTATTACGGCTAGCCTTTGACATCACGACATGTATAATGCTGAAGAACTTTGTTCGATTCTTTAGGCTGGTGAAAAGGCTGCCATTTCTAGCATGCTGTGCCGTTCATAAACACATGCAGCAAGTGAGAGGAGATGCTCTTGCTGCCATCAACACCGCATACTTCTGCCGCAATGGAAGTCTCCCATTGGCGCTACTTGTTGACATGTTAAATTTCGATGACGCTCAAGAAGCTGGTGAATTCTGTTCCCATTTTGGTCTGGAAGTATCAGTAACATCTGTGAAACTTGTCAAAGGTAACTTGAGCAGTTTAAAAAGCAGCGATGTTCCGCCACTCCGGGCAAGAGTTTCAAATATGATCGATACAAAACTGAACGTAACCACTCGTGAGTTACTGATTGGAAAATGTAATGAAACTAATGCACTTGTCAAAAACGCAGTTCCTGAGTTGGTTTCTCTGACGTCCGGGCCAGGAATTTGCGTCAACAAATGTGCAGCGATTGTAGAACCTCGTCCAGTAGTTAAACCGGCGTTTAATCCTAAAAAACAAAGCTACTTTGGTAGGGGAAGAGGACGAGGACGAGGAAAAAAACCTGTTCATTAGCGCGGATTTTTTTCCATTGTGACATTTTAACTTTGTGCATTGCGTACATTATTCAACCGAATTGGAACTCGCGCTGCAGTTGCACTGCCCTAGTCTGGTAACCAGACTTTCACGGCCAGTTACAGTTACATGATAGGATCTGGGTACGAGTTTAGCTCTGTCCCTTAATTTTACCGCTGTTGTGTACAATACTATTATGACTGTGGCGTGCACAGCAAGTGCGACTGCAAAAAAAACCCGTGCCAAACGCAGCAGATTGGCAGACGTTTGGTCATTTGTGAACTGTGAAAAGTGAGTTTTCCGATTTCAAATGACAACTTTACTCGAAAAAGCGTTTAGATTATCTTCTATTTTTGTAAAAGTTCTTTTTTAAACAGTTACCTTTTACATTTTTGTCATATTTTAATCCGTGAAGGAGAGTCGGGTAACTTAAATAAGAGCAGCTTTTGAAAAAGTTCCGAATTAAAGGATTCGAAACATTTAATGTGCTGGCTGACCCTAAAACTGTTTACTGAGTCTCATTTTTGTGTGTGTATGGGTCTTCTTTTCTTTTTGTGTCAACGAATAATAGAAAAACTTGGCCCTCAAAAATGGGAATGAAGTGGTAGCGTTATCGTGAGCGTATCAGACATGACACCGTTTCCCATGCCTGTGGATAAGTTCAGCTTCTCTCCAAAAGAAAAAAGTCTCTTTTTAAAAGCTTCGACCATCGAGGAAAGATATAAAAAGGAGTGGGCGTACAGGAGAATCATCATGCAACGTGTCCCATTTAATTTATGGACTAGTATGCTTTACAAGCGTTCTCGCACCAAGGAGGAGGAGGAGCACTTTCGCATTATGGCCGCGCGAAAGGTGGGGCGAGTGCGAAAAGGTAGAAACAGGGAGAATGGGACTTGGGAGAGTTTTAGTTTGTTTTGAACTTAATCAAATAACTTATACGGTTTTAAAACACCATGACTTCCTCACAGCCTGAAAGCACACCAAAGCAGATGCTTAACAGCCGTGTTTCCGCGAACGCATAGCAAACTGCAAGATATATATATTTGGACTTCTGTTACCTGGATTACTAACACAGAACTTACATGAGATTTGAATGCAGTGAATTCCATGTAAAACGTCAATAGGCTTCGATTGGCTGATTCTAAGCGCTGATCCGGCGGTACAACAAAGTTTAGTTGATATCATTGTTCATCTTCATCTTATAGTGCGACTGGTTCATTTTGTTTATTACAAGAATTACCATCCTTGAGAAAAGCTTTAACTGCGCATGCGTATAATAAAGATAATTTTTTACGTGTGTTTGATATCGCCAATCAGCTGCTGACACGTCACTCGCCTTTTTTGCCACTCTGTCAGGTCGTTGAATGAATGGCAAACCGTTCACTATTCTCAATCCAAGGTCGTTCCTTGTTAAAGTCGACTTTTCTTGTCAATACAGACCTATGGTGTACATATAATAAACAAAATAATACAGGGTTGTTGGTAGATAAGAAATTTTTCTTTCCCAAGCCTTTCTCGTTTTGGATTCGGAATCACACTTGTTCTCTTCTCTCACTCGTGAGATATCGAGTTGAACACTCGAAGAGAAGTTCCCTATATACGCGCGCCAATGTATTATTCTCTCTCAATACATAACTGATCCAGATAACACTATTGGCATTGTAAGTATTGCAAGTATGACACAGAAATTCCATACTTTTTTCCCGTAGATTAATAGCAACAAAATATAATTGAAAACAGATGCGTGTGTCGCTGTTTTTGTTCAACGAGTGTTATCTCATCATCCGTTCTTTCAGCAAAAGTTACACAGTTTGATCAACGCGAGGGGCATTAATCCACAAATTTGCTACCCATTTCTCTCCTTCAAAAACATCACATCCGCCATGTAACGATAACAAATCCACCTCGCCCATCATTCCGGATTCCTCCTCTAAAACGTGGTTATACCAAAACAGAGCGCTTCCCTTCACGGGTTTCACGATCAAGCTTGCTTTTTTGCATCTTTTACTGAGGTTTGAGGAGTAGTTTTTTCCCGACAACAGTTCTTCGTGATCTGCGACAGGAAACGCAGTTTCTCCACCCTTAGTGACGTTGTTCAAGTAGAACAGAACGGTAATGTACCTAAACAAAAAAACAAACAAACAAAAATTGACCCTTTAATCCTTAGGAGTGACTAGCATCTAATCTCCCCCGACGGTACCCCCCCCCCTCCCCCTAAATCAAACATTAAGGTCCTGAGTTTAAAGGAAATGATTGCGAATCAGGAAGCTCTTGATTTTCAGACTAATTCTCCTTATAAGCACCACAGAAAATGTGTAGAGAGCAGTATTGAGAATGTGTCTTCTGATGTTAAGGTTAAGCGAAAAATCGGAATCGAGCGCCGATTTGAACACTTACCTTTTCAAGCCTGGTTTTCACCAGCGACACAAGCACAAGCGCAGCGACAAAGGTAAACAGCTCTTAACGAAAGATGTTTTTTAGACATGTCGCGAGCGTGGGACAAAGAAAAACTTTTGAGTTCCTGAGAGGAGTCGAACCTCAAAACTTCGGCTCGCGCGTTTCGATGCTCTACCACTGAGCCATGGAGACTCAACGGTGAACAAAGCCACAGATCTTATTTCACTATAAAAACAGCCTGGACGGAATTCTGACCTTTTTGCCTGTACTTCAGCTGGTGTTTATTTATTTATTATTTTTTTTTTTCGCTTGCGTCGAGGCTGTTTTTACGGTGAAATAAGAGATAGCTTTATTAGGAAGTAAAATCATTGCAGCCCCCGGGCCGGCTGAAATACGACTTACTTTACAATGGAAATAAATTATCTCTTACTCTAAGATAACTACAATAAAAGCCGCAAAGTGTAATCTACAATAAAATACAATAAGAGAAGTATCAAAAACCAAAATACAAATAATTAATGATAGCTACTAATAATTAAAACTGTTCGCCATGATAGAGAGCTGACGTGCTTGCGTTTCTTGTGAAAACCAGGCTTTACACAAAGCCAGCATGTCATTTTTCCTGGTGGGGTGCAAGGTTATAGAAGAGGAACAAAATCTTAACATTAAATACACACAGCATCTCACAGGCTAAACAGATGAATACCAATCGCTCTTTTCACCTTACCCTTAACACACAGACATTAAAATTCATATTCTTCAAACTGTTCTTTTGTGGCTACTGCCTCCTATAAGAAACGAAGTCACATATGTTGTCGAGATGAGTAAGGCACGAGTGGAGGAGTGTAACAATAGAATTCCGATCTTGACCCAATTTTAACGCGATGTTAGCCAGTTCTACCTAATGTTTTTTTTCGGAGTAACCTATCAGTTCGGCATTCGCACGATACACGGTTGAGTTCTCTTCTCTAATGATTTCTAGCTAATAGCCACTAGCACACTATGTTTTCAGCTCTTGCCATGACACTACGGAAGACAGCAGATGACGATAAACATCTCACAATCATTTCAGGATTGCGCACGATTTTAAAAACAAAAGTCTTTCTTACAGAAATATCTTCAGCTTTGATCGACGCGTCATGAAACTCCCAGGAATATTTTTTTTCTTTAGAAAGAGAGGATTTCACCATTTGCAGAAATATCTCAATAGATGTGATCTACACATCATGGAAGCTTTGAGGAATTTCTTTGTTTTTTTGAAAAGGGATTATTTTATTATTTGAATCAGCGACTTACGTACTGTAGATCGAAAAGAGCAGCTAAATTTACGAGGCAAGAAAGCTGCGAAATACGATATCTTGAGTTATGCAACTGAATGATGGAACCGAGGAACGGTGGATCAGCTGAATTAATTTTTTTAATAATAATTTTATCAATTTCTATAGCGCTTTTACCATGTAATGATCTAATGCGCTTTACATCACTGTGCGGGGGACTTTTCCAGACTGCCAATGGCAGTTTACAATCAACAGAGGAGAATTTTTACAGGTGCCCCCT